CAGTCTTAACTTTCCCAAGGAGCAGCAAATGGGCAAGCGACTTCAACTCAATCTGGGTGTCAGTTTCCTGATCTTTAAAATGAAAACAGCAATATCACCCCGTCTTCATAATGCTTTNCTTTAAAATGAAAACAGCAATATCACCCCGTCTTCATAATGCTTTTCTGAGTTCCACTGTCCTATAACCTCACAAGGTTCTCCACTCAGTTCCTGAGCTCTTTTGTGCTGTCACATGATATCAAATTTAGTGTTGTATTTAGAATAGAAAAATGATTACTTCCGTAGGTTCTGCCTATTTGACATAAGCAAATAATCACAGATGGACAGATCATCTTTCTTTCCCTGGGAAGTTCAGAGCAATTTAGAATAGCAGTATTAGGTGTGTTGCTGAAACCTCATATAAAAGTGGAGGTTTATTAGTAGAATCGATACAGAAAGCTGATGAGTGATTTAGAGAACTATGAAATATTAACAGTAAGGTTAATATGTAGAAACAGAGACATAAAGCCCCATCTTAGAAAACCTTGTTCATCTGCCAGTGTGTTGTGACTTCAGAAGGTGCCCATCTGGTCAAAACCCAGCTTCCATCCTGTATCACTGCAGCCTGGGAAGAAGGATGGGGGTTGTGGGAGGACCCCAGCACCCTGCCCCCAACACCCTCCCCAGGAACCTTTGATAGCATGTTCAGCTGTGCATGCTGTCCTGGCATTTGTATGTAGGACCCAAGTGATACCTAGATGTCATTTACATCTGGCATGGTTCTAGAGATCAGAGGCCTTCTTTCTTTCCCTTTCCTAGTCCTTACTGATTGGAGGCAAGTTGGTTCTTCATAAGCTTAGCCTTGCAGCCTGAGCACTGACGAATGGTGGCCTACATTCTCTCCAAACTGGCCTGCCTTAGCTCTGTGCACCTCCTCAGACTTCACTGCTCTTGTCAGCTACAGAGTCTTCCTTCAGCTTCTTCTCTGGAACATGGGTTGAATCCTTTGATTGCTGTGCAACTAGTGCTTTAATGGGGCCCAGATGTTGGAATTAGCAGAGAGAGACTTCAAAGCAGTGATTATAAATATGTTTCAAGAACTAGACCTGTCCCTGTGGTTCGATTGGTTGGAGCACTGTCCTATACACCAGAAGGTTGCAGGTTCGATCCCCAATCTGAGCGCGTATAGGAGGCAACCAATAGATGTTTCTCTCTCACATTGATGTTTCTCTCTGTCTCTCTCTCCCTCCCTTCCTCTCTCTCTAGAATCAATAAATACATATCCTCGGGTGAGTACTAAAAAACATATATAAATAAGTAAATAAATAAATAAATAAAATAAATGNCTCTAGAATCAATAAATACATATCCTTGGGTGAGTACTAAAAAACATATAAATAAATAAATAAATAAATAAATAAATAAATAAATATGTTTAAAGAACTAAAGGAAACCACTAAAGGAAGGTGTGATAATGATGACTCATGAAATAGAGACTATCAGTAAAAAGGCAGAAAGTGTAGAGGGGGATCAATGGGAAGTCTGGAGTTGAAAAGCATAGCAACCACAATGAAAGACTCATTAGAGGGGCTCAACAGTTAAGTTGGCAAAAAAGGAAGTCAGTGAACTCAAAGACAGAGCAATAGAGATTACAGAAACTAATGGATAGAAATTACACACACACACACACACACACACCCACACAAATGAACAGAGCCTCAGAGAAATGTGGGACATCATTAGTAAACCAACATACACATTATGGGGGTCACAGAAGGAGAGGAGAAAGAGGGGGGACAGAAAAAATATTCTAGGAAGTAATGACAAAGATGACCACAGTAGAATGCATCAGCCGGAACTCTGGTACATCAGGGCATTCTCCTATTGTCCAAGTGATGGAACCAACTGAAGAAAAGAGCAGGGAGACCCTGCTGTGCCCAGGACTGAGGAACTTCCTGGAGGTGGGACATTGAGTGCTAAAACTGGGACTCCCAAAGGACTCAGACTGGGGAGTAGTGGGATGGATGGGGACACTATAAAGCAGCTTCCCAAATTACCCATTTCCCTTCTGAAACCCCAGCACAGGGGCCATGCTATTCCATTAGAGGCCATGCCCTGCTGTATCATCTGATAAGGGACTGATGGGGCAGGCTCCAGGGGCTCCTGGCTCTGACACTTTATGGTTCCGTGATTTCCATAAAACACCCGAAGTCTGCTGTGAACAGTCTGTGCCTTACCACAGAACCCGGAGCCCTGGACTGTGATGTTTGAACCCAGGCCTGCATAAAAGCAGTGTCCATCAAGTTCTCTAGATCCCAGGCCAGTCCTGTCTGGGCAATATGCTGTAGGACAGACTTGGAACTCTGTGAGCCCTGATTCCTCTGCCAGCATGAGTGAGCCCTGTGGCCCTGGGCAAATCAGTTAGTAATATCGAGGGTCNTGAGTGAGCCCTGTGGCCCTGGGCAAATCAGTAACATCGCGGGTTACTCATCTGCAGAAGGAGCTTGAAGAGCCTTGCCTGTCTGATGCACATGGCCATGTCAAAATGCAAAGAGTCACTGCCTGTGGAATCGCCTTCTAAGTGTCCTAGCTGAGGGCCTGCCTCTCACTGCACCAAGGGCCTAGAAGCAGCAGAGAGTGAAGCCAGCAGCAGTTCATGGCCTCGCTCTTATATGGAGGGCCTGGGTCAGCAGGGTGGCCCTCAGTCCACTGCAGATGTCTTCTCAGAAGCCTGTGACTGTTGGGTTCCCTCTTTCCTCTGAGGTCCAGTTGTGGGCACCCTGGCTCTTACCCCAGCCTCTTCCTGCCTGGTAGAAGAGTTAGGTCTGCCCTGAGAAGTGGGCTGCTGTGGAGAGAGGACAAGGTGGAGGGGGAGGTGGTGGGGGACAGGAGGGGGAAGGAAAGGTGAGGAGGTGGGAAGGAGGAGGGAAAGGGGAGGAGGAGGGGGGAAGGGAGGAAAGGGGTCTTTGGACACCTTGATTTTTGTCCTGTAAGATCACTTTTGGACTTCTGACCTCCAGAACTGTAAGAGAATAAATGTGTTGTCCTCAGCCACTCAGCTTGTAGTGATTTGTTACACAGCCATTGGACACTGATACAAATGGCATCTAGTAACCTGAACACAGCTAACTGCACCCTGGCTGCCCCACCCCTCACCCCAGGCACCTCCCCCATGGAGTGGTCTTTGGAAGGGAATAACTAGCATTTCCCGCATATTTAAAAGGAGAATCAGCCCTGGCTGTTGTTGCTCAGTGGTAGAGCCTCGGTTCGCCCGCCGAAGGGTCACATATTGGATTCCCCGGCAAGGGCATGTACCTGGGTTACAGGTTTGATCCCGGGCCTGGTCAGGGCGTCTTTGGGAGGCAACCAATGATGTGTCTCTCTAACATTGATCTGTCTCTCTCTCTCCTCCCCTCTCCCTCCCTTCCTTCGACTCTCTAAAATCAATGACCCTCAGGTGAAGATTAACAAAATAAATAAATAAAAGGAGAATCAGTAAAGTGTAGGAGAGTTAGCCAGAGGAAGAGAGTGAACATGTGCCATGTAGGCTGAAACTCCTTCCCTACCAGCCACACAAAAAAAGGAGNAGGAAGGTCGGGGGAGAGGAGTTCAGCGTTCATGGTCAGTGTCTGTCGTGCCTGGTCTCCCAGCTACCCGGGACCGCGGGTCTCCAGGCTTGGGCCGCCCCAGATTACAGTAATATTCAAGTTCCCTGAAACCCCCAGTTTTGGGGTGGCCTGGGTTTGAGCGGTGCTGCAGCTGACTTGGGGCCAGGGCAAGGACCAGGCTGTGCTGGCTCT